AGACCTTCTCCAGGGGTCACCGGTGGCATTCACCGGACAGCAGATCAAAAAGTTTTAGAAGAGGGCTCAGCCGCAGTGTATTGAAAATTATTTTAGCATAGATAATAACACAGGACTGACTCAGTTGGTCACGTCTAACGAGGTGATTGTCCCAGATAATGGCTATTACCAGATGTGTCAGATGAAAGTATCACAGAGGTCTCATGCCCATATACCTCACTGTGTAGAATACAGGCAATTCTTTGCTATTCAGAGATTTTCCAGTGTGCAATGGATCATCTTTGGTGATAGAATTTATTTGTTCCTCCTAAAGCCAAGGACTGAAAAGCCTTGTAAACATCAGCCTGGCTCCTAGAATCACAAAAGCTGTCCCCTGTTGATTCTGGAGACTGTGGTTTAGTGAACCTTAGTCTGGGATATGCATGACTAAGTCAGGGAGGCTTGATTGTTATCTATGCATTGAGTGCAATTTATTACCTTTGCATTTCCAAAATGATGTGAAAGGGTCTAGCCACAAATGAGAATTAGACGTAGTGATATTTTTCCCCGAGAGTTTTTAGTTACATGTAGCTGTATGTTACAAGGAGAAGGAACATAGGGGAACCTTCCAGTAGCTTCTACAACATATCTTCTGCCCCCAGTTTTGGCATAGATCTGCCTTACTTTGCAGCTCTCAGTTGACTTGGGGTCCATTGTGGGCTACAGCAAGCCAAAATACATTACAGCATCCCCATGCTACCTTGTGTAAGAGTGGAAGTTTGGAGAGCTCAAAATAATAGCATTATAAATACTGTCTTGGATGCACGGCAATAGCCTCCATGACATACCCTATCTAGTCAATGTTAAATAATAAGGAACTAGGGTTTCTAAGGTGACACATTTCACACTGGGAAATCTTATGACAAATTGTTTGATTTCTGCTTGAATCATAACCAGAAGTGTACTGAAAGCTGTATAAAGACTGTGCTGTTTACCATCTGGATATATTTTTAGTAGCATTTTTACAGGCATAACCTGCATGTTTAAAACAGAATGAGGTGGTCAGCTCAGACAAACCAACTGGAAACTGCACTTGCCCTTGCATGGAGTTACGTTTGCTGTGTGTGCAACAAATTTACTGGATAGTAGATGCTCTTATCACTAGCAGTGACTGTGATAAGAGAGTGTGTGCCAAGCTGACCAACTTTTCTTTTCTTCAAAAGACTGGAGACTCAAAAGCATTCTCTTCATCTGCTCCTTTCTCTTCCTCTGCCCTCTCTTCCTCTACTGTCACAACACAGCCACCTCCCAGACTTACACGCAGAGTCAATAAGCCACAGGTAATCATCTTTGCTGATTACTCTTCCATTACTTAGAGTTGATTCCATGCCGTGCCATTGTTTTGTCATATGCTTGTTTAGCCATTCATTGATTCCACAGGTGAGATATTTCTCCTGTCACTTAATTCAGAATTTTTTTTTTTTTTTTTTTAATAATTTAAAATTACTTCCAGGCTGTGCAGAAGGGCAGGTATGGGCAAAATCTTCAGCTGGTGCAAATCCACATAGCTCAAGTCTGGGTTTCTGCCAGTTTGTACCAGCTGAGGATCCGATTTTCTGTTCCTCCAAAGGATTAATCCAGGGCTTACTTAGTTCTGACCTTGAGTTCCTACAGCTCGATTGTATTATAAGGTAGTATCAGTGGTCTTGTTAGCGGAAATGGTGTAGCATGAGATACTTTGTTTCAGGTTTTGTTTAACCACCTGAGATCAGGATTCAGGGTTTGAGTGTCTCAGAGCTGGGGGTAAGGCATACACAACTTGGTATCCCCAGCGTCAGAGACCTGTTCCAGCCTTCTCAGGTAGGATTCAGAGGTTCTCAGCTCTACTGGGGGCAGCTACAAACATCTTTAGAGAGGAATGCGGTAGTGTTTGTGCAGCGTAATCAACTTGGCCTCAGCGCTGTGTGGCTGGGATGTCCAGGGTCTGGGAATGAGCAGTGCTCGCTGCTGCTGGTGTCTCGTCGGTCCTTCCACGCAGCTTCCACAAGATGGCAATATTTGAAACAGAAAGCTCACAATTAGCAAAAACTGGAGTGAGCTTGTAGTGATGGGTATTGGGGAAGCAATCTTCAGCTTGATCAGTGAACCAGGCAGGCTGCTCATGCAGGATGAGTGTGGGAAGTAGTTGCCAATGTTACTTATATTCTTGATCAGTTTATGAGAGTGAGATATAGCCTTAATCCTGACATTTTTCTGTTACTTTTACTCACATAATTTCCCTGCGATTGTGAGCTTGCACGACTGTTTACTGAACAACCACCTCCTGCTTCCCTTTCAATTTCAATATCAGAGTCCAATAGGATACATGTTCTGCTTCATGTTAAAAATCCACAAAAATTTTCTGTGTTGGCCTTTCTCCTGACCTCTGACCTGCTTGGTCCTGCTGGTGCTTGCACTGGATGTATGCGATTCAAAAGAGCAGGAGCAAAAAGCCACATTTCGGGAAAGATGTTTATCCCAAGTGCTGACTAGCACACAGTTCTATTTTGGGTGTTGCACCTGGTTGTAATAGGACCCTGTCGCCTTTGTTTGGAGTCAAAGTCAAGCCAAAATTTGTATTTTATATGCTTTGGCAATCAGAGCATTGTCAGTGTCAAGTTAAAACTGTGTCTGACATTATCAGCAGTCTTGACCACCTTTCCAGCTCTGGGTCTACTGCTGTTTAGGGAGCAGGAATGGTATTTATATGTGCAAATGACTTCTCATTATCTGCATGACCCACAGAGAGGCTGACGGCTTCAGCAGAACTGCAGGTAATACCCTGGAGGCCTTTTCAAAAATCTGTCATCTTTTCATTGATTTTAATCAAATGAGAAAAGCACTTAGTAGACATGGAAATGAGACATTACATTTGGTTTTCGTTTCCATTACTGTCCATCGCTGGTGTCTGAGGTATTTTACCATTTTGAATTTTAGTTTTCTTTCTCATAAAGAACCTCCCCAGTCACGAAATTTTGACCCAGGGTTTTTTGCAGGTTTAAGACCCCTTTGGTACAGGGCTGGTGTAAGGACTGTGTTTTTGCCCATTCCATTAAGTAATAACATAAAGTCTAATGGCTCTTTTAGCTATTCTGAAGTTATTCCCTTTTGTTTAGTTTCACAATCCAAACTAAAAAGAAAAAAGAACAACCCCGCAGCACATGTAAGATATTTCAAATATAACTTGCAGATTTTTTTTTCAATATTCCAATAAAACATGATATTAAGCAGTAATGTAATCTATCAAACTACTTTATTTCAGGGGACCCTCAGAAATTTTCTGGTTTAATTCCTGATTTACTCTGAGGTCCTTTTAGTGTGACAGTCAGCAGCGGTGCTGCTGAGTGTGTGAGCAGCGCAGCAGTTTTGGGGCTGGACTGCAGCTGGCTGTGGGGTGGGGAGGGTAGGAGTGGCTGGAGGAGGGTCCCTGCATCACCCAGCAGTGTGAGGGATGTTGGCGGGGGGGCTGTCTGCTGCTTTCCACTTGTACAAAACCACTCAGGCAGAGTGGTGTGTAATTTCACCCGCTTTGTGCTGGTAGAGAGGAGAGCGTATGAGGAGGGTGCTCAGACCCCATGTTCCCCAGCACAGACCAGCTATGCTTACTTAGCATGGACATTACTTAGCACCGTCTCCAAGGTAAGCTTTTATCCCCCCCCAGTGGTCTTCTGCTGCTCCACAGGTTCAGCACCGCGGCGTTTCTGTCCAGCGCATTTATTGTCCAAGCCAGAGCTGCGCAGCCTGCAGCAGGCATTGGTACCTGCTCCCGGCGGGAGATGCATTTTTCTGCTGTAGACACAGCCTTCAGCTTCTGATCCAGGAGCCAGGGAGTCTTTCCATTGACTTTGACAGCCTTTAGGTCAGGCTGCTCTGCACCGCAGCCTTTTCAGTGTCCTTCGTGAGAGCTCTTTAGCCAGTTTTGCCCTTGCTTTCACCAGAACTGGGGCTTGGTGTGTGCAGAGGTTTTCTTTTTTTTCTTTTGGCTGGGCTGGAGAGTCCTCCCTGCTAATGGTTCTCCATACACGTGTGGGAACATCACTGCTGATGTGTGCCCTTCTCTGAGGGGATACCAATGTGTCTGTCTGTCTGTCTTGTCTGTCTGTTAGTCTGTTCTGCTTAGCTTTCTCTTTGCTTATGTAGTCCTTTAACTCCCACCAGAAAGGGATGGAAGAAGACACATAAACAAGAGCTGTAGTGGATAGACACGCTGATGACACTTGACTGCACTAGGAGCAGGGAGAGCACTATTGAGTAGTCCCAGCATCTTTCTTCCAAACAGTTAAAATCTGCCTCAGGGCTTTTCTAGGCTCTTAATGTAGAACCTTTTTCTGGTGTTCTTACAAACCTCCGGTGCTCTTTAGACCCATCCTCAAACTCTGTATGAGGTGGAAACAGTGGCCAGCTGTGCTTCAGGACTGACTGTACCGCATATTTTTATAGTCTGTAGACATGGAGACATTGACACTAAAGCACCTGCTTAAGTTTATTCACTTAATCTTTACAAAGCATGTAGTGTGACCGAGGAGGTAGGAGTTGAGTTGTCCTCACGGGTTGTGAATACTTGGTCACTTTTAGGGCTCTCAGTTAACCTCCAGCAGCAGCAGGGCTGGCTCGGTGTTTTGGGGGAACCTCTGTTTTATACTTTGGATCTGTGCCCCATACTCGCTGATTCCTCGGCCACTCTCTGGCACATGGAGCCACCACTGTAGGTAGTACATGGGCTTTCTGAACCTGTGTTTGAAGAGCATTTGGACCTATAACAGGTTGGGTTTTTTTTTTTTTCTTTATTCTCTTCTCCCCCTGCAAGGATAATTTAACGTTTGTTTTTTTTTTTTTTTTAAAAAAAGCCATCTAGGCCATGCTATCAAGGTCACTTGTTTGAAGCAGTGAGGTGATACATTTACAGCCTAAAGTTATAGGATCTGATCTGGCCATGCTGCATAGTTGCTGGCTTCAGGGTGTTCCATCACCTCACTGTAGGGCTCTGCTGTAGCCCTGGGAGTTAGTGCAGAGACACCCAGAGACACCCACTGCTTTGGTAGGAGCTGCCTGGATCTCTGGAGCAGAGGGCAGAGGGGATCCACTTAGTTGTGTGTCTTGTCAGCAACGGGGGGCTGCTAGGAAGGCAGGGGACTGCTTGGCCTCTGCCCCTGCCCAGCTGCCTCGTGGAAGTCCCCATGAGGTTCCTGCCGGGAAAGGGAACATGGCCAAGTTTCTGATGCTGGTAGGCCGCACCTCCTAGTATTACACATACAAGCCTGCACCATGGAGCATTCAGAGGTAGTGTCAATTTTTTAGCTTTCAAATAACTAATTTAATTCATAGCTATTAATGCTTTTTGGAGGAAAAGCTGGTCAGGGAGGTCACCAGTAATCAATGAGAAATGGACCATGCAGTCTTAGGAGCTCATGGAGCAATTCCAGCAGTCAATTTATTAGTATGGAGCAGAGAAGCACTTTCTTGAATTAAAAAAGATCATTCTTACGGCTGCCTCTCACCTCAGTCTGGAAATTGGTTTTCCCAGCTCCTTGACCACCTGAGTTACCTCTGATCTCGTCAGATTTGATGCATTATATCCAGTCGGTCTGCACAATATTAATTTTAAATTTCTAATTATTCCATCTGCCTTTCAGGGCTGATGATAGAGAGGCAGGAATGATTTCCAGAAATCCTATGACAATTTCAGGCTCCACAGTAAACGCTTTGAATGTGAATTCCACTGCAATTAGCCCACCCAACTTACATTTAATTTTCTCTCTATAGAAATATACATGGTAACAGAGCATTGTTTCTTAGGGCAGTGATCCCAGATTCCAGGCCCAGGCAGTACAGATGACTACAAAGGAGTTGCTGTGGGGTTGGGTTGGCCTAGAGTGGGTCACACTCCTCAAGAAAAGAGACGGTTTGCTTTAATACAATGATGGCCACAGCTCCAGAGGTCCAAGATGTGGTTCAGAGGAGCTTTGAGAATGGGAATTAGACAGGGATGAGCTCATCACCCTGCACTTCTCCAAAGTCTTTGAGCATGCTTGGGCTGAAGGTGTCACAAACCTCTTTATCCTCTGCTTCTACTCTGTCTCGGGATGCCATGGGAAAGCAAGCCTTTTACTGAAGGGCATTGTTGAAGTGAATAAAGAGCAGGGGGGAAAGCATAAAAATAGAGGCCTTTGGAATTTGGGTTGAAAATTGTGTTGAATGATCACAGAAGTTGGCAATGCTCTGTATCTTATCCAATCCACTTTGCCAAGCAATCCTGCAGGTAGTACAAATAACCCTACACTGGTTCAGACATCCCATTTGCTCACAGCATGCCCCTTGCTTTCAGTAGGTGTTTGACATGCAAAAAGCATGCAAAACCAGGCTTTGAATACCTGTGCGACTTTCTCAGTGACCTTGCCATTCCCCATAAAACCTCCAACCCCAAACACCCTGATTTTCCTTGCTATGCCCTGGGGCACGTGAGTCCCTGTGAAGGGTTGTGACTGGGGAGAGAGGCAGGGCAGAGTCCAGAAGCTTCACAGGCAGTGGTGTCTGGAGCTGGGTTTTCCAGGCAGGGCCTCCTCTGACCTGAAGCTCTGCCTCCTTGTGGGAATTAACTGAGCGAGTACAAGCTAGAGTGATTTTGATGGGGCTACATGGCATTGTGCCTTCTGAGGACCTGAGCTGGTCGTTTTTAAGAAGCAAGCGAGTTACTGTTCTCTCCTGTGTCAGTGTCATTGAGGACTTTTCTAAAAACAGCAGAAGATTTCTCTCAGCATGCTTTTGGCCTTTCAGGTTTGATGCTCTCAAGTATGTGCTTCTGTCCTTGTTTTTTTCTTCCTCCCACAGGAATGCAATATGACACTATGTACCATTTCTGGTTGTAGCAGTGTCCAGAACCTTCCACTCTGAGTCCCTGCTCTGAGCTTCTGTTTCACTGTCACCTTTCTCTTTGCAGCATTCTGTGTGCTGCAGTGCAATTGCATTACTGGAGCCTTAATGTCTCTCGTGTAAATGAAAGACCTTGTTGTCCAAGAAGCATGGTGTTGGGGTGGGGAGGGGAAGAGTTGTTCATTTTCTTTTGTTGTCTGCACTCCATTTAATTTTTTTTTTTAATTCTGACCGATGTAACATCTGCTAAAATGTCTTCCTTATCATTTGCTTGGTGATCACACAGCCTTCCCACCATTCATTGAGAGCTGGACCAGATCTCACAGAGTCTGAAAAGAGCTATGTGGTAAGGCCACTGTTTAAATCAGATGTGTAGTCCTAGACTGTCTTCACCCAGACAGTAACACCTCAGTAGAGATAAAATGCCAGCACTATTCTTAGCGGCAAAGTAGGTACATATCTATCTACTTGCATATATTGTTTTGTTTGCAACAGAAAAAGGGAATTTAGCAATTAGAAAAACTGTCATAGCCAATGAGAAGTTGGGCTAATTGTGCTGCCAGTCCCTGGGTATGAGTTAAATGAAGCAAAATGCATGAATGGAGCAGCCCGCCTTGCATTCTTGAACTGACTTCATAGCATTTGTAATGGTGCCAGTGCATAACTAATTGCAACCTCTTACGCTGCTGCTTTTAAAATTATATGTATATATATTTGTTACAAATCTTTAAACTGAATGCCAAATTCTTCTGTATCTTGCCTGTTTTTCCATGCTTACACCTGGATTCCTTCTGCACTCCACTACCTGGATATTTACCTGGATCTACAACTCTTTTTTTTTTTTTTTTTTTTTTTTTGTACTGGACTTATGTGCTGCATCTGGAATGTTCCATCTCTTCTTGTCTATATTTTCCCCTCCCTCCCCCCTGTTGACTGTCCTTTGGGTGTTCTTGGATGTCAATGCTGCCTACCACACAGGAAGCTGTTTGCAATGAGATCATAAACATTGCAGAAAAGTCTGTTCATTACTGCAGTACTATTTCTCAGCCTCTTGACTCTCGCCACAAGGTGACCTCTAATGACCATAAACCATCTCTCATCATTTCTCAGCAACCTCAAGCACAGCAGCAAGGACCCAGCCCTGACAGAAGTCAAACACCACGAGACATGTAAGTCCTTTTGGCTCCCATCTCTTCCAGGGGCCTTGTCTCTGACTGGTGGTGAAGATGGGGAGGTGTGAAAGCTTCAGCATTTCAGGAGTTAAATTAGAATTATGGGAAAGTGTCAGCTTTCCTTTAAAGAACAAAAATAGCCACATATCATCATAATGAGTAGTTATTAGGTCCCAAAACTGGGACCTTTGTGTCTGTATAGCACCTGAAACAATGACCTCATGATCCAGGACTGGGTCTCCTTTGGGTACTTGATTCATGCTGGTTATGGAGGCTATCTCACTGTCTTTGTATCTTGAAGCTGGACACAAATCAATATCCACTGGCTACACCTGGCTTATATGGCGTGGGTCAATGGGTTCACCCCTGTTCCTAGCTTCTCACAGCACAGTGAGCGGTCCCAACGCCGATGCCACTTGCTGCGGTGTTGGCCAGTTCCGCAGGTGGCTGAATGATCTGAGAGACCATGGCTGAGATTTTCAAAGCTGTCTGGCGGGTTTAAACCTGGAGCTGCCTTTAAGCTTGGCGGAGCCTTTCACTGATGGTTTTGAGAACAGTACACTGCACTGTGTGCTGGGGACTGAAGTTCCTTGGCAGTTGGTTCCTGAAAGGAGCCTTTGCTTTCCCCTACCTCTTTATGCAGAACAGAAAGTCTCACATCAGCTCTATTTTCACTCCCCATGGGCAGGGGATCCAAGCCTCTCCAGATTTGCCCAAAGATTGTTTCCACTCCATGAGGTTCCTTTCAGATAGATACAGAGTGCCTCTGGTGCAAGTGGTATCTCAGGGCAGGATTCAACCTTAGATTTTGTTTGCAGCTCAGCCACGATTTATCCAGCCACCTTAGTGCAGTAGAGTAGGCAGTGTCTTTTTCTGAAGTTCTTCACTCTGCCATTTGGTCATTCATGGCCCTGCCTATGCGCCAGGGCAAGGGAATAGATGTCTCATTTAGTCCCAGAATGAGTGTATCCAGGTGTCGTGGTTTTTTTAACACTAGGTAAGCACTACTTAGCAACAACTAAAACATCAGTGTGTTATCAACGTTATTCTCATACTAAATCTAAAACACAGCACTATGCCAGCTACTAGGAAGAAAATTGACTCTATCCCAGCCAAAATCAGGACACCAGCCTTTGGCTTGCATTCAGTAGGGTGTCTGCACTCATATGCTCTCTAGGTGCTACACGTTAGGAAGACTCCAGTTGTTACAGTCTATGGAGACAACTACATGGCAAAAAGGAAACAGAAGCTCTCCGTGTATCCCACACAGTGCAGGCGTGACACTTTTTACTGCCATGGCCTTGTGACAACAGCCATTTTAATGCACTTGGCTTCCACCTCTCAAATGAAAAACACAGATCCAGACTGCATTGAACAAAATATAATAGGAATTAGAAAGGGGAAGGGAGATGTCCCCTTCTGAAGGGATGTCAGGGAAATCCAATGGGTAACGTGCAGTATCTTTCTGGTTTTAGAGTTAGCTACCAAGCCCTCTACAGCTACACTCCTCAGAACGATGATGAGCTGGAACTGAGGGATGGTGACATTGTCGATGTCATGGAGAAATGTGACGATGGCTGGTTTGTGGGTGAGTGTGCCACTTGCCTGTCAGTAGAACTTTTTGAGATGCAGATGAGCAATTTTGCAGACTGTCTGGAAGTTGCTTTCATTTGTGGGGTCAAAACAGTGGGGGAAAAAAAATAACCCTCAACTTTTTTCACAATTTCTCATCTTTTCCCACCAAGAACATTAAAATTAGGGTGCAGGATGGTGGAGCTTTGTTTTCCTTGGCAGGTCTCTAGTTTTTCCTTTTTTTTCTTCTTAATTTCCCCATTCCTCTCTTCCTGCTGATCCTTCTTGCTCACACAGATGGCAGAGCTACAGAGGGAACCAAGGAAAACTGGATTTCTGTAGCTTTTCCAAAGCTGAGGGAGCCATGGGAAGTTACAGAAAGTGGCAAGTAGGGGACGAAGGGAACACATGGATGGGAGTTGCAGTCCCTGAGAATCCAGCCTCATCTCCAGCTGTTTGTTTAGCAAAATCTAGCCCTTTACCTTCAAAGAATGCAAGTCTGGACAGTGTTCTCCATCTCAACACTGCAAATACAGGCTTGTTATCTCTTCTTAAGGGAGATTAGCTCATTTACACTGATAGGAGTCTGGCTCCTAGCCTGTAGGCCCAGGAGCTTTCACCAGCACCTTATTAAGTGTAAAAAGGGAAGACCAAAGATGATTAGTAGCAGAACTAGTTGTGATCTCGTCTATACCAAAAGGCTTTTTGACCAGGACTTCTATTTAGTTGTAGAAAGCAATGCCTGCAGGCAGAAGAGGCTGCCACCTCTACCTTTTCAAACCTCTAAGTCTTCCTTGCACGGCTCCATCTTACTCTGGCTTCCTTGTGTTTTATTTTGTGACAGGTACATCCAGGAGAACGAGGCAATTTGGCACCTTCCCAGGCAACTACGTGAAGCTTCTGTACCTGTAAAATAAGGGTGATCCCACTGTGACAGTGACAGGGCTGTTTTCCAGGTGTTTTTAAACAGTGAAGAAACAGACAATTTATGAATGTAATAGACGAGACGAGACGTGTTAGGAGGATGTGGTTATGTGGTACAGTATTGAGTTGAATGTGTAGCCCTGCTTCCACAGATTCAGGGTGTGATTTGCTGAAGAAGAGACAGTTTCTAGTTTACAGTGCTGCCTTTGTGTATTCCTCTCCCCTCCCCAGCAAGAGTTCTGGTAATAATCTTAATTCGTATGAAGTCCTTACCTCTGAGAAGGCTTCAGGGAAGCACATGGTATAGGTTTTGTTTGTGTGTTGAGATAGGATAGTGCTTTGGGGCAGTACGCAGCCTTGCAGCTGCTCCCTTTCACTGGCAAGGTTCAGGGAGGCCAGGCTTTCTGCCCGGTTTCTGTCTCGCTGAAGACTCACTTTGCTCTGCCTTCCACTTCCATAGAAAACCCTTCCTTGTTGTCATGCACCTTAAGACCCAGCAGAGGCAGAGGACAGCTGATATGGTTAAACCGCAGAGCTCTGTGTGGAAAAGGAGTTTGGGACTGGTGGTTTAATCCAGAGAGGTCAGCCAAAGCATAATGCAAACGTGCAAAAATCCCAAGCCCTTTAATAACATATTACCTATCTCTGCAGGGTTTTTTCTTTTGTGCAGGGGGTGTGTGTGTGTGTGAGTGTATTGTGTGCATCAAAATGAACCGAGTTCTGTTTTTGAAAGAGAAATCAGCCCGGCGTTGACATTTATCTGCACAAAGAATAGAACCAATAAACAGAACATCCATGAGAGCAAATCCTGTTTATGAGTCCTACGGCCGTTCACTTTCTCTGCTCCTCCTGCCCTGTTGCTGGCCCTAAAGGATCACACACTTTTCAAAGCATACTCTTTCGGATGAAGACTTTGCTTCTTTCCCAGCATTAAATCTTAGAGGCTCTGATAAGTCTGAGCAACATATTGCTGAGGGTGCCTTTTTTTTTCTTTTTGGTTACAGTGTCAATGGTAGGTCTCAAATAAATACATGCCTTTTGGCTGCCTCTTAGTCATACAAAAAAGTCTAATCAATTTGGAAAGCTGTTCCCAGCGGTTATTACCAGTTACGTAGATTCGTATTTCCTTGAGAAAAAACCTATGGCTTGGCTGTATGCTTGCCTGTGAATCCACTATGAATACTCTTTTGATAGACATTTTGTTATTAAGAAAAAGCATAAACAAAACCGGTTCTATCAGACTCTGCTTCCTACAGTTACCATACAAATAGCAAAGGGTTAGATTGCTATTTTGTCATAAGCCGTATTTAATAATATAAAATGCCTATTTTTATGCTGATGCTTTTATACAGATTTATTAAGAGTAACTACAACTAACTGTTAGCACGACTTGCAATGTTTTGATAAACTAGCCATGCTCCTGGGTTTGAAATCAAGTAGGCTTGTCTTCCGCCTAGGTCAGCGGAAGAGAAGACTCAGTGTCTCAGAAGTTTGACTGTAAATATGTATATTTAACTTTGTACAGACAATGTACTTACCTTGTATAGAAAAATAATTTAAACACTTTGAGTGAAGGGAGGAAAAAAAAGGCAGTTGTGAAAGGTTGGGATTTTTTTCCACTTTTATTTAAATGACGGAATTCCATGTATGTTCACATAAAGAGTTTTAGCACAAAATATCTATTATGAAAGGTTTCGGATATGACACAAAGTACCACTGTTTCTTTTCTGCAGGAGATGCCTTTAATCCTGCATCTTATTTATGGGTTTGTTTTTCTGCTTTGGGTTTGCCCTCCAGTTATTTGCAGCAATATTTAGGCCTGTTGCTAAGATTGGATAACACCAAATTAATCTATCCAGCAAAGTAACATGATACTGACTGTATATAACATACTCATTTAGAGGTTTATTTTTTGTTCTTGCTCTTGCCATTTTTAAGTTACACACACATGCATACACACACACACACACACAAAAAAAAAAGCAACTTCTTTTTGTGTTCATTTTTTGTTTCTTATTGCAGTGAATTACTATTTGACAATTAATAAATGGAATTATTGAATTACTGTTGTGTTCCTTGTACAAATTATTAAATAAAGTCTATTCCCGCTCTTCCTGTAGCAATGCACGTTTGTACTAGTGCCCCTCTGCAGCTGTCTTCGGCTGTGTCCGTACTGAGCGTAGGTGTCTGCCATGGGCTTCCCGAGCGTCCTGCGCCTGAGGATCCTGCTTGTCACTCTGGGCCTGAGCTGGCCGATTCTCCCTCCTGCGCCATAGGCAGCCTGTGACTTTTACTCGGAGGAACCAAGGTGTAAAAGCAGAGAAAAAGCTGGTTTACACCCAGATCTTACCGTAACATGGGGTCAGGGTGCAGATGCTGCAGGCATGCAGACCTGGGAGCTCAGGGGCACAGCCAAGTCCACTGGTTTACACAGGGTCTTTGTGACTCTCTCTCAGATGAGAAGATCCCAAATGCCAACCTCTGTGGGAAGGGAGGGGTTTACATGGGCATTTTTAACCCTGACTTAGGTCAAAAGCCGTAAGACCCCGACTTCTGCGGTAGCCGCACTCTGACCAGGCAGGCATGGCTGCAGCACTAACTCAAGGGGTTTGTGCAAGGTCTGCGATGAACACACCGCGGCTCCCAGCCCCGCAGCAGGAAAGCTTGCCGGCGCTTTTTGGGTGTGCCTCATGTCAAGGAGCAGGCTCCGCAGGAGCAGAGGGAGGGAAGGCCAGAGCTGAGCTGCCTGGGTGGGCTCACCGGGGCTCAGTAACGCACAAGTACCACAAAAGCACACCCTACACCTCAGACTGAGCCAAAATTGGGCAACAGAGTCAAACTCTGCGGTGATGTGACCGGATGGCCAGGCAGACAGATAGACGTTGTGGCAGCGTTCACAATGATATTAGGAAGTCAAATTATAAACAAGCCAATCCTAAAGCCAAACTGACAGGACAGCGAAAGCTTCAAGCTAGTTTACATGTCCTTAGAAAGCACACAGACACAAGCCCATTTTTCTGTTTCGCAGGTTACCTTCTGTAAAAAGTAAAAGGGCAGCCTGACCACTGCTTTGCTGCAGTCGCTAGCATCGCTAGCCCCTGCTTTACAGTGCTGTGGCCAGGGAGGGGAGAAAGAGGGACTCAGCTATCGCTACTGAACCTCGATATTTACTGATGCCGCTCCCTATCCTAATATACTTGGTAAGGAACAAGCTAGAGATGCTTTTGTGACTGCAGAAGCTGGGTGTGCAGAGCCGGGGGAGAGGACCCAGTGGTGTGTCACAGGCCTCTGGAAATCCCCTGCACCTGGGGGAAAGGAGCTCTCGGTGTCACTGCCAAGAGCTGTGTAATGATGCAGTGGAAGAACTACTGCTCTCTGATAGATGAGATGAGTAGTCCAGATGCATGTACCTCGGAAGGAAATAACCCATGAAATGACAAGTTAACACAGGAAAAGGGAGGAAGCCAAGACACGGGATTGCAGAGGCAAGGGTGTGCCTTGCGGCGGGATCATTCGTGGCTGTGCGTTGTAGGGCCAGCACCTGGGTGACCCACCTCATCCCCGCTTGCTGACTGCTCCGCACTGCCTGGCCGTGGCTGAATCCCAGCCTCAGCAGCAGCCTTGTGCTGCAGCTCACCGATGTTCTGCATTGCCCGAGCTGTATGTATTTACTAAATAAGCAGCAACGCTTGCGCTCAGTTTGTAAATGCCAGCTCCCTTGCTGTAACCAGCCTCTCCTGCCTGTCCATCGTCAGATCAGTGGGGGCTTAACATGCAACCGGAGCAACTGTTTTTCCTGAATCACAGCTAAGGAGGTTGGCTGATAAACCCGTACAGAAGACTTCTTTCTTTCGCTGGGGGTACCACCCCTAAGGGGCTAGAGACAAACAAAACTGCATAAACAGGTGACAAATCAGAGCTAAGTTAGGGGAAGCAGCTCCCAGCTGGGAAGCAGCACATGACGCCACTTCTTTCCATCGCCTCCATTAGGTTTCAGAGTTAACGCGGCAGCAGGCCGGAGCAGGGCGAGCCCTGCTTGCCTGGGAGATG